TCTCCCAATTAAAAAATTTATTTTAGGTTTAGGCACTGACAAAGTAACCATTAAACAGATTGCTTATTGGTTCAATTTTGGCATTGAATTCTTAGGCCTAGTAAGCAGACATGGTTGTGTGAATCCCAGAAAAATAAGACTTAGTATGAGCTCATAAATAAGGATAAAATTTCCAGAACTAATATAAGTTATTATACAAGAACTGCATTGTGAACTGGTTCTTTAGCTTTCCTTATCTCTTCCTGAAAAGTTTTCACTGACATTTTTTCTGAGTAAAATAATCTAACTCATGCTATAAATGCAAAGGCAAGACGTATAAACAAAAGATACCTGGGATCCCAGTTCTCTTCGCACACAGTTTTTTTACACAGACGAAACAACTGCAGATAGATACACCCATTTAACCAAGAAAAGAATCTGAATTACTGGATCCATCCAAACCTCACTTTCATTTTTACTCCAATAATTAACTAACAATTTAAAGAAAATATCTGATATACAACGTATTCTTTAGGCTCATCTTTTATACCACAAGACTATAATCCACCACTTTGCCTTTTCTCCTCTTCACTTAAAAGCAATAATACTCTACCCTTGACCAAAAAACCCAGATTTTCCATCCCATTAGGACCATCTATATGAGTCCTTAACTCTAAAAAAAAGTGAAAAAATAAGGTAACAGAGTTCTAGCAACAGAGTCCTAGCAACAGTTAAAATGTAAGTAGTGCTTTTTGCCAAATCTGAATGCCCTTTACAAATCCTACTTGATTTTTTTTTTTTTCTCAGTTTTATAAATGGGAATAAATAAATAAATACAGAAATAAATCATTTTCCAAAAGTCATGCAGAAAGAAAGAGTGGATTAGCCCATGGTTTAAGCACCAGATTAGATCTTAAAACATGGTGGCTCTGCCACTAAGCCTCTTATGCAACCTTGCACCAGTCACTTAATATCATTTTATTTTCTATGGAGAGGATTAAAAAAAACAATACCAGCATGTAAGATCTGGGAGGAACTGCAACCATATGACAGAGAAGCAGAATTGCCAAGAGTAAAATTCATGCTTTTGACTCATGCCCATCTATTTTACGGACAAGACTCCTTCCTTGAATAAGTATAAGCATGTAGTTCAAAATATAGGATGCCTCCAGAAACACTAGCACATTGTGATAGCACATTAAGAGAGAAGCCTATTAAATAAAACAAGCAACAATTTCTGAAAGAGAAATTCATACAGCCTTGCACTTTTCTAAGCAGTTTTCTTACATTCTCATAGTCATTAAAATGTATAAAAATGATTATTTCCAAAACAGCATTACCATGAATTATCACCACCCCTGTTGCCTAGCAACTGGAGTAATTTTTTGAATAGTGAGCTATATAAACCAGGATCTGGAGTTTGTGCAAATGGGTATTCATCTGAGGGTTTAAAACACATTCATCTTGGAAATCAGAGGCAGATAATGCAGCACTAATGTAAAGCTGAAATGCTCTTAAAAAAATAAAATGGCACTAACAATTACTGCAGCTTAGCAAAACCCTCCTCCTGTAGCAGATGTGAACCCTGTCAAACTTGGTCATGGAGTTGACTCCCTTGCTCTTCCTTGGGCTTGAAATGCTCCTTTCCGATTTTTATGAAGATAATTGACATTCCTCCAGAGAAAATAATTCTTGCCCAGTCTTTTGAGGGATTTGCTCAAGAGCAAAAGAAACAGGTGACATTAAATGGCAATGTGTTTAAGTCAAATTAAAAATTCTATTTTTATACAACATACTGAGCTGGAAGAACTCACTGGTTCATACCATGGCAGAATGATGTGCTTAGTAAGGTTCAAAATAGCTCTGGACATTAATAGTGACAAAGAGATAACCCACTGAGATATTAAAGAGAGATTATAAGTACATATATGAAAGATACAAACTCCCAGAAATCACGGCCTGGTCACTCATTAGCTGCATGTGGTTTCCCATTATAGGGATTCTTGCCCACTCTTCAGACCCATGTGGAATTTAACTTGAATGCAGGACAAGATCCCAAAGCATATTAACCTGCATTGTTTGATGTCTGAGAGTTTCTACATTACTTTCTTACAACTTTAGCAGACAAGCTCCTGCTAAAGCTAGTGTCAATCTGTGTTACTACTCCCATTTTTTTTTTTTTTTGGGGGGGGGGCACATTCCCGAGGGAGAAAGATTCTAACTTAATGGCTTCTGAGTCTTGGCCTTATGGGGAAAAAAAATAAAACACAAAAATGAAAACCGTGCTGAACACCAGCATGTGTTTCTCATAGAGACTGCAGGCAGAGAGGCAAATTCATGCCTGGCATAAACACACAGCCCACTGAAAGCAATGCAGGAGCATCTGCTTATACCAGCTATGAATCTGAACAAGCTTTCCCCTACAACTACTACCTGTGGAGATAAAGCTGGATACAGCACTGAAGGGAGTTTAAGAGCCTGCAGCCTCTCAGAGTTTAGAGAGCAAAATTTCTGTAGTAACAGAAAACCTGACGTTTATGAAATTGTGAGTTTCCGGGCTCCCAGGAAGCCATGCAGTGTCTACTGACAGGCTGCCATAAAATACTTAATGGCTGTTTAATAGCTCAGATAAAGAAAAGATGCTCCATTTTGTCTGCTGCTCTATGGAAACTTGCTGAGACCACACGCACAAAGTGCAGTGCTGTCACATAAGAAAACACTTCCATTATTTTCTTTTGGTTCCACTCAAAAACACAAGTTAACAAAATTTTAATTTTATCCTGAACAATGAAAGAGAACACCCCTAAAGAAAGGGAAATGATCTTAGCTAGACAGGCCAGCTGCTGCATTAAACAAGAGGTGTTACTGAACACATATCACATAAATCTATGGGATGCTCAGTCTCTTCTACAAAGCAGCACACACACTCCCCCTCCTTCCTCTCTTCTCCACCAATGAGCAGCACACACCTGTACTGCCAGATCACTAAGCAAATAGTGTTTGTACTCACCCAGCCACCAAGACTCTTATTTCCATTGTTCGCGAATAGATCACATCCAGGGAAAAAATGCTTTCTGCACTCTTCTCAGCGAGAAGGGGACAAAATTTGCTCCAAAATATGCCAATATGGTTTTCAAATTACATTTTAGAAGTCCTCCACAGAAACAGAGATGTTGCCTCTGATTTACAGATGACACACCACTTCTCTATACTTATACTCTACACTATCTGCTCTTATAGGAACGAATTCAAGAGGAGATGCTGGCCTGAAGAGAGCTTTTAACTTCTTTCAGCGGTACAGAAATATTGATGAGCGAGTGTGCTGGCACCTCTGGCTGTGTAAGTTCAGAAGTCAAACAGCTGGGAATTACAACAGAAAGAGATTGGTAGTGCAGCAAGTAGAAGACATGTTTGGTAACGGTTTTCTCCCAGTCAGGCATTGCCAGGAAAGACAGCTGTTGTATTTGCTAACTATTCCTTGTATGCTTAGTTCGAGCCTAGGGAGCATCATTAACATATTTTTTTCTTTTCCTACAGTTGGCCTTCCCTTCAATCCACAAAATCAAACAGGAAGGAAGACAGGTTTTTGGTAAGCATAGTTTGAGCTACACTTGGTGAAGTGCAGAGTTCAAGCTATTTTCACCCTATGAGTAGGTGCATGATCCACAAAACATTTCATGAACATTTATGAGCACAAATTTGGTTGGCCCTTAACTGAACTCCAGTCTGACTGAGCTCCAGGAACAGGAATATTTCCAGAGAGCATGTTTTAAGCCCAGACTGCCAAATAATTTTGGAAAATAAATGTTAGAAGAAAAATTAAATTATAACCAAACTCAATTCATCTTTATTTTCCAAAATGAAGACAAAACCAAAGGAGTAAAACTTGTCAATACCTTACAATCTTGAATGAACATGAGAAAATAATCATATTTGCAGCCTTTAAAATGATAAAAAGAGTAAAAAGTGTGCGCTGAAATATGCTCTGTGAAAAACTTGGTTCATTTTTCATGTCATCCTGTTGTTCCTAACTCCAGATTCTCATATACGTGTCCTTCATGAATGGTGACATTCATTAGCAGTTTGATTACAAGATACTACTGTGAACCATTCCTGTGATGCCACTCCCTAGACTTTAGGCTAGAGAAAAGTGATATCATCCACAAAATCAGAAACTTTTTAACAGGAAGTCTGTAAGACTGCCTGGATTGGGTAATGAATCCAAACTTACTTTCAGACCTGCACACATGACAAATGGGGTGAGACAACGATGAAGACAAATGAGTACAAAACATACCCACTAGGTGAGCAATTCCTCTAATTTCCTAGAAGCTACCTGCAATAGGAAAGGCCACTTGTCTAGGGTGACAAATAGGTCCTACTTCTTTTTTGCAAGTGAAGGGCTGACACTAAGATTCAAATCACAAAAATAAAATGCAAAGAAACCTTGGATCACAGAAAGAACCTCATGACAAGCATGCATGCTCATGCATGCTCATGCTGACAGGGGGGTTGGAACTAGATGATCTTTAAGGTCCCTCCTAATTCAAACCATGCTATGATTCTATGACTGTGACATACAATTTCAAGAAACTAAATTCCACACAATGGACATCAAAATTATTTTCTCTATAGTGCTGCATTACGGCAGCAATGTTTGTCTCTGTGGAGCAAATATGAATCTGGCTCTCAGATGCTTTGAAACATTAGAAAAATCTTTGAACAGTCCCAAAACCCAAAATCATAATGTGCTGAACTTCAAGTCTTAAGATCTTTAAGACACGAGTCCTGTTTCAGCAGGCTTCTTCCTTTGAAACCTGAATGTCAATCACAGCGTAGCTTCAAGATGTAAGGTTAGCTAAAGTGTCACGGGACCCTATCCAGGTTTTGCCGTACCTCAGGAGGGCTGCACGGACCCCAGCAGATTATGTCCCTGTTAGCCCTGAAGTCTGCTTCAGGCCCTGACAAGCACCCTGCTTGCAAGCATCTTCTCATTAGGTGCAACATAGAATACCACTTACTTGTATGGGATGTGTTTGCTTCCATTGACGAGGGCGAGGATGACGTTCCCCAGTGCTGACAGTGAGAGACAGAGGCCAGAGCTTCCCTCCCGGTTTTTGCTGAGCACTTTCACACAGCTACCCAGGTCAATAAGGTGCAAGCGGCTGCGACCTCCAGACACTGCCATAAACAAAGAAAGCAAACAGTTAATGCACGCCTCCAAAAGCAGCTTCCCAGGAAAGCAAAAGCCTCAGCATGACTTGCGAAGAGGAAACAATCCAGAAACCTTTCCTAACTCATGTTAGCAGCAACAAACTGTAGGGGTCCTGTTAACTCACTGTCAGCCTTTATTGCTGTGCATTGCTGTCCGCTATGGACTTGCTTAAAAATTGCCGAGGCTTTCAGTACCCACCTGCTCCTGCAGGTTCAACTCTGTGGGAGTCACCACTCTGGTTTTTTTGTTTGTTTTTTTTTAATACATCCCTATTAGCCTGTACCTCAGTTGGCTCTGTTTCTGTCTGTCGTTTTTGTTCCGCTGTCCAGAAAACTACAGGCTGGGAGTTGCTGCTTGGTGAGCAGTGATCCTGTGGTAGTTTATCTTTTCCATCTTGAATACTGGATCTTCAGAAGAACCTTTGGCATCCGTGGGATGTTCAACTTTGCTTTAAGTCTACATACTTTACGTTATCATTGGGGCAAAGAAAAGGTTTGCCATGCCATGAGTAATGCACTGTGGACAAGCTGCTCTGTTCTGAAAATAGTTTCTGTAAAACTGGGAGTGCCTCCATTTTTTTTTCTTATTTAGTCTGTATCAACACACTACATTTGAAGTGAAAAGATGCTAGCATTGAAACCCCAAGATTAACAGATGCTTGCTCTCTTTAAAAGCCTGTGGTTCCTTATGAACCCAGGATGAGGACTTTGTAGACTTCCCTGAAGTGCTTCTAATTCTCTACTATCTCAAGACAATTTTCTAGATGGGCTTTTTTTGCATCTCATCTTTGACCACTCCTCCCTATTCTCAAGAGTCAGTTTAGAAGCAATCTGTAGGAAAAGGCAGTTTTATTTCTAGGATCTTAACTTTTGAGTTAAGAGCACTATTTGAGGACAGAAACATAACTTAAATAGGACCGGAAATACTTTCACATCTGAGTTTACCTCTATGCAAATAAATTCACAGCCATTTTGACACAGTATCTCAACTTATGCATCTAGTAAAAAAATGCAGTAGCAGTGGGGGGAGGCTAGTTCACAAGCAGAGATGGCGATGGGAACAACTACGTGACAGGGACCTTACAAAAGAAGTTTCCAGATAAATTTCATTGCTTTAGAAATATATTATCAATCATAGAATCATAGAATGGTTAGAGTTGAAAGGGACCTCAAAGATCATCTAGTTCCAACCCCCCTCCCATGGGCAGGGACACCTTCCGCTAGACCAGGTTACTCAAAGCCCCATCCAGCCTGGCCTTGAACACCTCCAGGGATGGGGCACCCACAGCTTCTCTGGGCAGCTTGTTCCAGCATCTCACCACCCCGACAGTAAAGAATTTCTTCCTAATATCTAATCTAAATCTACCTTCTTCCAGTTTAAAACCATTACCCCTCATCCTATTGTTTCAGTCCCTAATAAAGAGTCCCTCCCCGTCTTTTCTGTAGGCCCCCTTTAACTTCTGGAAGGCTGCTAAAAGGTCTCCCCAGAGCCATCTCTTCCCCAGGCTGAACAACCCCAACTGTCTCAGCCTGTCTTCATAGGAGAGGTGCTCCAGCCCTCTGATCATATATATAAAATAAATATTTCTGTTGCTAAGATCACCGGACATTGGGGAAAAGAAAGAAAATGAAAGAAATCACTACCCTTCAAAATTTCAGTCATATTTCCACTATTACACAGGCTGAGGAAATACAGAATAAGAGAGAAATTACCCTATCTTCCATTCTTATTTAATTTACAAGTCAAAGTAAGACGTTTTTAGGATGGCAGATCCACTTGCTTGATCTAAAGATGAAGTTATTTGTTAGGCAAGTTCTCCACTAATGTGCTTGGCAACTATAGAGAAAAGAAGTGGAACATCAGAACACTTGTTTTTGTCTACGGTCACAGAGACTTTGCAGAGCTGACAGCTGAAAAATGACTGTGCCAGTTCTGCCACAATGCCATTTATTTCAATGGTGCTGAGCCTGCTTCATGACATTCCTGGTAATGAATCTAACAAGGAGGTAAGTACAGTAGCAAGGCGCTATTCTAACAGTCATTTTTTACCAAACTCATACGTTAGCCAGCCCTTTAATCTCTTATCCTTTAGAAGCCGTGTTTCTGGTTGTTTTTTTTTTTTTTTCTTTTTCCTATCCTTTTTTAATCCTGTTACTGGAATCTATATATCTCTACTATCTTCACGGGTTTTTTTTTCTGAAAAGTCCTTCATTACAGCAGGAGACAGTGATAATCACTAGGCGCCCTTTCTGAGCAGCTGGAATTCCCCCCTCATTCAATTATCAGTGAGATCTGACCCTGCCTGGCTTGTGAGGCCACTCAGATATGGGAACTTGAAGACAGGAGGTGGTATGGCCATGAGACAAAGATATAACTAAAGGCAGTGGGCAAAGCTTGCAATATAATAATCCAACAGGATCACGTCTTCATTTTTGAAAATGAGTCATTACACCCACAGGAAAATAATTTTTTTCCCTTTTATTAATTGGATTTGAAAATAGTAGAAAAGGACTGTGTGTACATGTAGTTGCGTGCAGTAAAAAGGATGGAGCATTAAATAATTGTAATAATAATTCCCTCAAAATCAGCCATCTTTATTCCTACGAACTAGTCTGAGCATTCACACTCTTCCTTTCCACCGCAGGGTGGTTAATTAATAAACCTTTGGTTAATTGAGATTTCTGCCTGCCAATTCCACAGGGTTATTACTTAAACACATGCAAACCGCATTTCCATTTAGAGCAAATTTCTGGTTTTGTCTCTTATAAGTACAGTCAATGTAAATTTTCTGCATTCAAACATCAGACATTCATACTGCAGTGGTGTTCACCCACTACACATCATAGCTTGCAATCTATTCCTTATTACAAATAACCTATGCAGAGCCAGGAGCTGAAACATATGCTATTTCTGCAGAATTGCTTAAGCCCATAAATTTAAAGAAGCAGAGGTTTCCGGTGTTTTTCAAACAAACATTTTTCCCTGTAAAAAATGATTTTAAAACAAGAATTTTAATGTGAAAGTTTTCTTTTTTGGTGGGGGTGCTTCTTATACTATACAAATCTTTTAACACTGGAACTTACTAAAAAATACCCTTCTGTATATCTCTAGATATAAACAATTTGGGAGACTTGAAACAGAAGATAAATATAATTAAAAAATATAAATGGTGTAAGTCAAATGAGATCTTTGAAATTACAGAAACATGTAAGTAGATATGGAAGCATCTTTTCCTCACTTACAAGTGGAAGATGGAAGTAAAGACACAAGCCAGTGAAAGCATCTATAGCGAAGAGAGAGAGCCCAATGTGAAAAGCCCAGAGACTTTACAAAGAACCACAAGAGCACTTTGTGTACGTGTAGTTGGGCCAGCAACTAAAATACCATGTACCTCCAAGAAAAGCTACAGTTCATGCATTGCCAAAATCAGCTTACACAGACACTGCCATATTTAGGTGCTGAAGGGGAACAGCTAGTCTAAGGGTGGCAGGGAATTCTGATCACCACAATATTTTAATCCATGTCCTCAACACTATCAGTAAAGACAATACTAAAAGTTAATCTGAAAAGCACTTTTTTGCTAGATACAGAGGCGCACACGCTGCTGAGGACTATCTGTTAGTATCGCCACAACAGCAACTAAACTGACAATTAATGGGAATTATCCCCAGTGGCCTTTAATGTCCTTTAGTAGGTCTTTACCAGGTAGGTGGACAGTCAGCTGGTATGAATGGCCCTACCCCATTCAGAATGGAGAACTCTGCTAAATTTTACCACTAAAGAATACTATTTAAAGGCCTGGTTAAAGCCAGTCTCCAGGCAGTCATGAAGAAAACCAAAGGGAGCGAGGGGACAGCTTACTTCCTCCTTTGCCGCTCTTCTCCATGCGGTACTGGTAGATGTGCAGAGTGAAGAGCATGTGGGAGTTGCGGTGATCCTCCTCGTCACAGTCCCGCTGGCTGCTGCGACGTGAGGCAATGGCGGCATCAAGGAAGAAGGCAGCCTTCTCCGCTGTAGGGGCACGGAGCTCACTCTGATTCTGAAGCTGCAGGTTAAGACAAGGGAGAAATTATCTAGAAATGCCCATACAAGTCGACACTACCAGACAAGTATCCCTCAGTCAATGCACGCTGCAGATACATTGGCTTCCGACAGGACCGAAAAAGGAGAGGGTGCCCAATGGAATGAGACCCTCCTGACACTGGCAGTGACAATACCACATCCTCCTGGAGCCCTATGATTGAATCCAGGCTTTTGAGGGTTCTTACTTGGGGTACCTCTGGCAGCAGTTGCTACAAATAAACCTCAGCAACTGAAAACTGTCCTATGTGCTGGTCAGATGCATAAATTTGTTCCTTCAACGTCCCAGAATTTTATGCTATGTATGCTAATTAATTATTCACAAAAATAATTATGGAAGACACATCAATCCCAAACTCAACAGTTGGTGGGGACTGGCAGGGGCAGCACTACACGTTACCCTTCTGAAAGTTTTAGAAGGGAGCAGTCTACAGACAAATCTGGGAAATAGCAGGAGTGAAGCTTGTGTCCAGCCCCATAGCATATAGGGAGCAGCACAGAAGAGAAGTCTTTTCTTGCCCCTTACCACAAGCTTACACACCTGCTCAGGAGCCAGGGCAACCCATTAAATGGAACAAGGCCGGTAATATACATACATTCACATTTGCTGGACCTCAGTCCCAGTCACCAGACTGCTCTTATCTCTCCAAAGTGATAGACAGCATAGAAGGGCAGATATTATTAACCCCCCATAACGTTAGGAATGCATGCGTGTTTCATGTCACCTAAGATTAGTCTGTGGAAGGGACATGTGACAGTGTAATCTGATGGCATTAGTTTTGGCAGTACGCTGAGCTGGCCCACAGCCCATAGGATAGACTTGTTTTGTCTCGCACAAAAACAGTGAGGAACTCCCTTTCTCAGGGTTCATTCCACTGCTATGTAATACAACTAAAAGTTAACTTCTCCTAAAAAAGGCAGTGCTCCTGTCTTCTCTTCATGACCATTAATCAGCCTGAGGAGGGGTAAAGCCGAGGCTCTGCATGGGATGGGGCAACATGTCTGGAGGCTAAGCTCTCTCTAGAAAGAGGGAGGAGGGCAGGAAGGAGTTAACAAGGCAAGCAGAAGGCAGGCCAGTCTGTGGGCTGATGTCTGTAATGTAAGCAACAAGAAAATGTGCATACTTGGAAAGGCCCAATGACAGACAATGTGACATATGGTGATTATTCATTTGCTATGCACACTGCTGATTTTGCATATCTGTATGGCTATAATATAATATCCACCCTTCATCTGAGGATTTTGAGAATTCAGGTGTAGGACACATGACTCTAGAACGTCGCTATGGCTTGTAAACACAAGCAAAAAGGCTTTTTTCCTCACAATTTCATTCAGTATTTTACACTGCAGAGGTACATAGATGTCTCATGGAGCTAACTTTTCTCCACTAATCTAAAATAATTAATTTTGTAAAAGGCTGTTCTGTCTGTATCTATATGAAAATAAGCAACAATAATGGAATATTTATTATTATTGTTATTGTACTTAAATACCGTATTAAAGAATTAAGCTGTAAGGAGAAGCTAGTTGTTACAGTTATGTAACATTTATAACATGCATACGTATGCTAATTCAGATTTTAACCGGCCCATCTATCACCCCAATGGGAACTGTGAAGACTCAAGTCTCCCATCTTATACTCACTGGACCGTACCCATTACTGGATACCAGGGGGTGAGTTCTCATGATACTGCAAATATTTCATAAAGCACCAAATCCAGGAGTCAAGTGAGAATGCAGACCTCAATTGTTATTTATAACCAAGAAGCAGCTTTGTAGTCTTCGGGTAGAATGGGAAAGAATGGAAAATATGATCTAAGTATGTCCAAAAGGCTTAAACCACAAAGAGATAAAACACAAAATTCATTACTTGCTGTTAATAATCTCACGATTCATGACTTTTGTGGATGTGAATCATGATTTCTAGATGCTTGGAGCTGGAAATAGGGTACATGACCCTGTAGGTCTGTTCCCTCCTCCCTCCATTCCCCATCCTTGACTAGGCAGTGCTCTGCAGGTTCTGGATGGAAGCAGCCTTTGCCTTTAAGGTTGAAAGAATGTATTCAATCTCCATCATGCTGGTTTGCTCCCTCTTCATCTACTCATACAAAAATCAGATATGCTCCCTCACAGACAGCAAAATGAAAGAATAGGCCTTCTTTCCCCTCAAACCAAGAGGGAAAAAAAAAAAGGGCTGCTGAGACTTTCTAGTGGTTACCCCGGAAATAACCGAGCCCGTTAATCTTTTTTTTAAACCTCCAAACATGAAAAGAGTTTGAGTTATTCTTGGCTTGCCCAGCTCAGGAATTTATTTCTTGGCAGCAATTAATAAGTAGCAATTAATGCTTCCTACAACATTGCTAATGCAAGTGCTATAAATAACGTAGTTTATGAAGAGATAAACAGCCGTATTAATGGCCTCCAGCTATTTGTGCAGTACTGTAAATATTTTAGTTTGTTGTTTTACAAAAGAGAGATCACACTTTCTTTTTTTTTTTTTTTTAAGAATGAGGTGAATTTTTGTTTGCACTGAATGTTTTCACATTTTATTGCAAACACAAGCCCCTGCTCAACATCAGTTATACCAGAGGTACAAATATTTAGGCCAGGAGAGCAGATGGCCCTGCAGCTGCAGGTCATAAAGTTCTTGCATGTTTTAAAGTAAACACTTTCAAGTCTATAAACTTTATGCTCTGGGTAGTTCTTGAGTTTGAACCATCTCAATAGCTTTTAAAAAAAAAAAAAAAGTCACATTTCTTGTTTCAGTGAAAAATGAACCTTGGATTCACCTGCATGCCACAAATGGGGTCCTCACAAAGGTAGACACCTGGAGACTGGCCATCTTGCAGGCTGCCTGTAGCCACTTCTGACAATAGGTCTCTCAGATTTTCTTCTTTCCCCCACACTTCAACTGCAGAAATTCGGACTGAGAAGCGGGCTCCTGTCTTCTCTTTGCGTTCATTAATCAACTTGAAGAGCCAAGAGATGGCACAAGGGATTATGCCAAGGTTTTGCATGGAATCATCCTTCCCGATCATGGTGTATGACTTCCCTGTCAGAAATGGGGGGATGGAGAAAAGATAACAACATCACTCCCAGGACCTTCCCAGCCTTCTGCCAAGAGAGATTATCCTGCACAGCCTCATGAAAACAACTTCTTTGCAGCAATAAGGACAGTCAGCAAGGGAGAAAGATAGTCAGGCAGACACATAGTACATGGAAAATGGAGAGCATTTAAAACCAACAGATGAAATCTTGAGCTGCTTTCAAAAATCATTACCTCACACATTCCCCTGACATCCTTCATTGCCCAGGGAGGGTGCTGCAGGTCCCTACCGCACAACACTGCAGCCTCTGATGGGGCTAAATAGTGGGGGGAATTGAGCAGAGCAGGAGTGCCACGGTCTCTAAAAATCCCTGCTTTAAATACTGAGAGCGTGGTATTCTTTGAGTATCATTTTACTTCAAAGCACTATATTATGCTTCATACGCTGGGGTTGGGATTGACATAAACCTGGTCCCAGGATCATAAAGATGGAACTTCATACAGAAAAAAACAAAAACAGGTACATGTGGTCATTTGGTGCATAAGTGGGTGCACAACAAGAAATATATTTTATCTGGGTCAAAATCTTCCTCTGGTTTGCTATTATTTGACTCTACAGTTATAAGTCTGGCTTGTCTCTGCTGTAGAAGTTTGCTGATTAAGACCAGACACAGAGTATAACTTGTACTGCTTTAGATGTCGCTACATATAATGCTCTTAGACAAGTTTTCTAAAGCTCCTAAATCTATAAGCCAAATGATAAAGGTATACATCCCTTCAGGCAAGTACCTGTGGCTTCTTTACCTTGTTTCATTTCTTACATTGAATCTATATGGAAAAAGTTCAGCAAAGAAAACATTGCTATGCAAGTGTCTGTGGCAAGGTCTGGGTGCATCCACAGTTGGTGGAATGGTGGTGGTACAGTTAACAAAGCAACTGCAGAGACTCAACTTATGCTCCAGCAAAGCCCTAGCTAGGCTGTTTCTTTGAAGGACATGTAGCACTTGTGAGACACCATTATCCGTTGGCTTTCTTTTCCATCTCATTGGCCATCTAGTGTTTGGCAGATCACAGGGGGTTAAATATCCAAATGCTCATCCTAGTGTTACTCCTGCCTGGCCCAGAAGGGCCTTGTGGTTAGCTGGTGGCATTGCAGAATTCAGTACTCCAGTTTTTGTTGCCTACAATTTGGGATAGTCTTGGCCTGCTTTTCTTTATCACTTGAAAAACTGAAGTTGTGTGTGTATGTCTATATACAACTCTCTTCATTAAAGAGAGAGATAAGCATGAACAAAATACACGATTACTCTTGAAATTTAGTTATTTCAAAATAATAATGTGTTAATGATGATGATTCTCCATTTTATTCCCTTTCCACGAATACCTGAAATGCTGCTGATGTGTTTGCAAAGAGCAAGTTTGATCCATTGGTAACATTCAGTTAACCATTAGAATAGGATTTGTTGGAGACACATCGAATAGTTAGAGTTGGAAGGGATCTTAAAGATCACCTAGTTCCAACCCCCCTGCCATGGGCAGGGACACCTTCCACTAGACCAGGCTGCACTAGACTACAATAGGAAGTGAATAATGAGTGAATTGTCTAATCAGGGAACAGAATACAAATCAAACTATTTGAGTGCCCAGTCACAGCACTTGAATAGTGCCATCTTAAACATCAAGTACTTGAGAGGATACTCAGAGCTTTTACGCAGCTTGATAAAAGTGGTATTTTGGCAAACAGTCTCCAATACCAGGCACATTTGTAAAACCGGAGGTCACTGTTGCATCATTCATTAACAATTCACTGTTGGATCATGCATTAACAATGAAAGAGTGCTAAAAATTGCTATAGTACTCAGGGGACAGAATAAATCAACAACTCAAAGATAACTTCTGTATCAAAGAACGTGCTGTCCAACATTTAGACAATACACAAAGTGAATAGATGTGTGAGAGGTGAAGGTGTTATACAAGGTCATGCACAGTGTACCATTTTTAAATACAATTACTATGCACAGACAAATGAAATCTTGTCTTCCCTACTGCAATGTACTAGCAATCTTGCGTTAAAAATATTCACTTTGCTTCTTGAGTAGGGAAATTTAAAAATACCAACCAAGCTTGGCATGGCCAAAGCAGAACACACAGCCATCTGCCCCATTGACAACAGACTGGATCACCTCAGCCACAGTCCCAGCACATACTTCAGCCTGTCACAGGTATTCAAAAGAAAAAAAAAGAAAAAAAAAAGGAAATCAAAAGAAGAAGATAAAAAAAGATCAAAAAGAAAACCATTAACAGCAAAACAACGAGGAAAATCAATTGAATATTTTCACTGGAAAATGGTCATAACATCATCAGTGCTCCAGATAGCATGTTGAAGTATCGAAAAGTCTAATTCTGCTTGTCTCATTCATGTGACCTGCTTGTGTAAGCACACGAAGCAGGACTTCTCCCTGTGTCAAGTAAGTTTCATTTGCTGAAGCATCAACATCCTTTGTAGGGTTAAACAAAATACACATACTGTAAGGGGATGTGGTTGGTTTGTTAGGACTGCCTATTTAGTGGACTTTAAAGACTATTTTTTATTAAAAACCAATCAAATACTGAGGAATTTTTACAGGCTCTATTATTTGTCCAGTTATGGGCTGAGTTCAATTCCACTAGCAGGTGGGTAAGGAATGTGAGGGGAACAAACAGCCCTTTGGTATTAGCTAGGTGACATTTATTTTTTCACTGCATTATTATGAGTTGTCTTAGCTTTTAGCAGCAGTAGGCTCCATCCTGAAGACCATAGCAGTATTTTAAGAAGTACAACATACAAATTTACCCTGGGGCATTCTTAGATTTAAGGTTCGAGCAGGCTGAATGGTCTATGGTGCTTCTGCAGCAACTGCCTATCAATAGTGGGTGAAACTAAATCAGAATGTGCAGTTTAGGCTTTTATGTGAAGCACACTGCATTTGATAATAAATCATGTAAATTCACCTAGTTCATGGACATTTCTAGACTATCGCTGTAATAGTAAATAAAATGGGCCGAGAAAGGGACTGTTCACAGGCCAGCCCTTGAACTGCATCCAGGCATTAGTCTGGGAGGTGCTGGCTGCCTGGACCAGAACTAGGTCAGGGATTGACCTAATGATACGATCATACGACAGTGCTTTAGCTGGCCCTGTGTCCTAGCTCTGATTAGTTTATAAGTACAGAAATAGCCTTACAGTACCGTCTTCTAATTATACTTTGCAATGTTACTTTCTTCTTCTACTGTTCTCCTTGTGACATTTGGGTAACATAGTTCATCAAACCCAAGAAGACTAATAAAAATAAGAAATCTGAATATATACATATGAATAAAGATTTGTGGACTAAATTCCCCATCCTCCTATTGTAAACTGTACAACAGAACACTGTATAAATAATCCTTGACTTCTTAATGAATAGAGGACTGCATTAGAGAACTGCAGTTCTGATCAGATTGCTGTAAATACCAAATAATAAGATTTTATAATATACAATAACTTGTTGGTATTGAGGATTTGCCTACTAGGCACCATTTAGCACACTTATTGCATGTATAATTTTGGGAGCAATTATTCACAGTAAAGAATAAAGAATACACACAATCATCAAGATACAATTTAATAAAATGATTTCATTATCAATGAAATCAGTGGATCAAATTCAGCCCTGGTATAACTCCATTAAAAGTACTACTGTTGCAGCAGAAACATGGTGCATGCTATTGTTTAGATAACTATTCTGATCATACATTGCCTACCTGTGATGCATCTTGGGGGAAAACTGCATCAAAAGCAAACATCTTGGGTGGAACCTGGTTGCCCCTTTTCTGGAAAGCATTCTGACCTCCACAGGCCAACGGGTCATACAGCGTGATTTGCTTCTTGCGGGGGTCAACTTTTAAGAAAGAGCTGGACTCAGACATGTCTCTGGCAAGTGTGGAAGAAATGCGCACCATGACTTTGACCTGTCAGCAAACACAGAAAAAGATGACCTCATTTGATTAGTTTGTTGGATTCTCTAGACTGGTATGCTGAACGAACTTTCCAATTACACTCGACCAAATCATAGTTGCTTGCTGAAACTAGCATCTCAGTAGAAGGCAGCGAAGACACGGGAATTATTATAGGGCAGAATTTGGCCTAAAATACATAGTGAATAAAGACAGAACACACCTCTATCTACTTCAACAAGCAACTTGTGTATTTAGAATTACAAAGTACATCATGGTGTTTTAGTGTTCATGTTACTCAAGTACAATGATGAGGTATTACCTCACCTTGTCTTACTCTCAACATAAATTGAAAATTAACTGTACCCCAGTGGCCCAATTAAGAAAGCTGAAAGGTAATCTAGACTGCTAAACTATCAGAACTGCTGCGGTTTCTATGAAGCATTCTGATCAATAAAAGCACATAAAAGCCAGATCTGTAATTTACACCTTTCCAATTCTAATCCAAATGCAAAAAGATGAGCTGCTTAGTTCTAAGTGTCACCATCAAAGAGTCGTGAAAAGAGCCCTGTTTTAATAGTCAGATTTTGAAATTATCGTCAAGGGAGTGGAATGTCATAAGCGATAAAAGATTTGTTAAAACATGTTAGCTCACAGCTCATTAAATGGCTACATAATAAGACATTATTCCTAAGACAAAAATACATCTTCGTGGATTTAATGAGGTTATACTGCAAACTTAGGCAGTCGGTAAGCAATTTAGATGGAAGTAAAACTCATGACAATCGGTCTGGCTTTGGTTCTCACCATAAATTCACCACCTGCAGACACACGAGTTCCTGGCCTTTACAGGGCAAACATGACTCTGCCAGCGCTTGCCTCTAGCCACACCTGCACACACTTTGTCCTGGAGCAACTGACTTTCACACCAACCAAACAGAATTTTTATCTTAATGCTCCTGAAGTGTAAGTCACTTATATCAAACCCACCCACGGTTGGCATGCAAGTGACCACAAAGGGTCACCTTAGCACAGGGTGGGAGCACATCTGCTGTTGGAATGGCAGATGCACCCTGGGAGGAGGTTGTAGCTCTAAAGGTTAGACAAGGCTGCAGTTCCTGATGGCCCCACTGAGACGGGTGCTCTTTGTATGCAGATCTTATTTCATGCTGGCCTAAGCTCATCCCATGTGGAAATAAATCAGCTGGTTTGAGAAGTAAAAGCTGGGCAAATTCATTTTTGACACAAGTCCTTTGAAGACAACAGAATGAGATCAGAGATTAACTGGGATTATTCAGTATTGTTGTGAATCAAAGTGGTAATTTGACTCCACGTATTTTAACCTGGGAAAACAAGCTATTATTAGATGGTGAAATGGTCACAAACCTGTGCACATTATTTCAGTTTTACACAATTAGTTGAGGCAGAGAGAAAAAGTACTGCTTGGGTGTGAACGGGTTCTTTTCTCAACTACTCATCTGAGCTGCTTATGAAACCCAACCTCTAACTGAAAAAAGCCACTAACAGTACTTTGCCAAATGCATTCTTCTAAACCCATCCCTAAGCAGAGCTGATTTCTACTGAGGCCAAAGGCAGCCAACACCCCTGGTCAGTCTGCATGAACTGGGCAAGGTTTGAATGTTTATTCCAGCCCTAGGTCTCCAGACAGCTCAGAAGGGAGGCACTAGTCAAGTTAACAGGGAAGAGAGGGAGTTCAACACTGTGAATCCCAGAGGAGCAAGAGAACAAAGAGCAATATCAGTCTTGATCTGTTTTTCTGTTGTCAACTTTGGATGCCTATGCCTTTTTTTACTGTGTCCCACATTTGTAAACAGATGCCAATATCAAGAGCATTAGAGAGATCTGCAAATAAATGCTATTCTTCAATTACTTTAAATAAAATACTTGGTCTCCTTTAGAAAAAAATTTCCCTATAAGTTTATGTGTATTTTTGGCTGCTATGAATCGAAGTCCAGATCCTTGATCCTTGGGTGCAAAGGACAGTTAACTGAATACCCTGGGGCTAGGTTTCTTTGGGTTTTGGAGAATGGATAGTGCATGAAATTTAACCACCCTTCATATATAGGCAGTCTAAGAGTTCTTTCTGGCATCGAACTGTATGGGCATTCAGTTTTAACTTCAGCTACACCAGTTTTGTTACAGTATAATATCACCGGCTTGGGTCCTGATTTAAACCTGTTCACACAAAATCAGATTAATGCCTGTCACTTCTTACTGAAGTAATACTGTGAATCCTCCTAACTTCCAACAGCTATAGTGATAGAAGATGAGGCATCAGGTCTCTATTTCCCTGGAGTAAAGGACCAATTTAACCGAAATCCTAAAAATTTACTAGCATCAGATAAACTGAATGAATGACTATAAAAAAAGAGCTCAACTCAGAAGTCCCAGGAGTTGTGTAACAGCATATATTTTCTGACCATTTGGCTCCTCAACTCTGGCAAATATAGGCATTTCTCAAGGAAAATACTGCTATTGCCATGAACCTTTTTATTTCCTGTGCATTGGGGATTTTTGTTTTAAGACTTAATGGTTCATAGAATCACTTAGGTTGGAAAAGACCATGTTCATGTGTGTTAGGGCAGAGGAATATCGTATTGATTACATGTGGGTATATCCTGACAGCTGGACCACTTCTTACTCTGAAGCCAGTTTGTTTGCAGTTGGCATGAAGATGTCTGTGCACCTTGGCACAGCTTATCATGGATAATTTCTCTCACCTCCATTTAGACCAGCCTGCAGGAGCTGTCTCCATCCAAGCCAGTTGTCTGACTCCTTTGTAGACAATAGAGAGAAATTGGCACTTCTAGCACTTATTTCACGTGGTCTGTTTTATAGAACTGTCTTCCAGATAGCATGAGTTGCACTCCAAAAATGCTTCTTGCTTTCTCTATACCACCACAGGCATCTTAAATGACTACTAGAGACGTAAGTGCCTACATTGTAGGCTGTCTAAAGTTATTCTTTCTGCTGTAGGAATAATAAAAATGCTTTTCCTGGGCAGCACGGTCCCTGGCCCAAATTCAGCAGCACAGACGAATCATTGTGACAGTCTTCAGCAAAAATCATGTGCTAGCAAAAACAAAGATGGGCACATGAGTGTGATGGACACTGAACACAAGTAGCAGCAATAGATTATTTGAACTCATCGAATAATTTGTAAACCCTAGAGTATTCCTCCAGGCCAGTCTCACACCACTGTAACTCTTTCAAATTACTCCTGATTTACATTACATTAATTGAGAAGACAATTAGCTCCTGGCTGTGCGAAATACACGTCCACTATACGCCATGGGAGCTGTGACTGTAGCAAAAACCCAACAAGCAGCCAAGATACAGGCAAAATTTACCCCTGAGAAACACATACAGGTATTCAGAACTGCATACGTTACTGTGGCCCAATAAGCTAGGCAGACCAAAACAGGGTTTAAAATATCTGAGACAGAGGAATCTTCTGAGGAGAGAGGCAGGCTTGAGGCCTGGGAATCAGGCTGAGATTGGGGACCTAGGACCCCTCCTAACAGCTGTGCCTCAGATGCAGTACGATTGTGAACTAGAGTGATACAATCTCTGCTTTACACTCCCCACCTGTACAATGGGCTGAGTAGAAGCTTATGTTACTGCAAGCATACAGATACATTCAGTCATTACTGGGCTCAAAGGACTGGCAGTTGCCATTAGGTAGGCACTCCATTAATAAACATTATTACACACGTAACCTAAACCCAAGGATTCATGCGAAGCATTTCCCAAAAGTGGTTATGACAAGAGTAAATCAACTGTGCTACAGAAACCATGGGAGACCACAGCCTCCTGCTGTGCTGTTTCACAGTCCTTCGTGCAATTTATAGCTGGGGGTAGTGGGGGGAAGCTCGAGTCCATGCTGGCCCCTGCAATCCACGCCACAAGGGAGGCAGCGTGAGGACGGGCGAACGTAACTCAGCCAGCTATGGGGATAGCACAGGAACTTAATGGACTTAAAAGACTTCACTTCAATTTAAAGAACAGACAGGCTGAAGATCACAGTGCTGCTCTGGGGAAGGCAGAAATACAGTATGGTTCATTTGAAACTAACTGAACAGTGAAGTTTAAGAACTCTAATACTTTCTACTTGCAATTTATATTGAAATAAACTGTAAATTGAACTTCTCCTTAAAAAGAAGAAAGCAGGTTTTCTGCTTCACTTCCTATGTGTCATTACTCCTTTAGTCCAATGCTACAGTTTCCCACTAATCTCTTGTAATTGAAGGGTTTAAGAGATACCACTTGCGATTAATGGGACCACTCAGTCTGCCAGAAATTCTTATTTGAATCCCAGGGACCAGGTCTTGGCAGCGCCCAGCAGCCTTAGACACACCTCTGACTGTTTCTAAGGGGAAACATGAAAGCAATCTCTTGAGACATGCACTGTCGGTAAAACAAACAACCCGGGCCTAATTTTGATCTAATTTTACACTCATGCAAATTTTGCTGAACTCAGCAAGAATTACCCTAGCTTAAGAATGAAGAGAGAGAATAAAAGAAAAGGCCCCTTGCTCTGCATCATTATTGTGCCTTTTCCAGAATATAACTTTACCTCTTAATTCTGCTCATGCTGGAGGTATTTTTTAATGTGTTTTGTCCTGTGAGTTCACAGGATTTCATTTGACAACTATTCAATCCAACAGGACCACCATTTATTTCTCTGGACTTCAGTTCCTGCCTACAAAGATTTGTTCTGTTCTTGAATGCATTCTACAGTCACTGAATTCCAGAATATTACTCCCGATGTGCAATGCCACAAATGAAAGCAGAATCAGAGCTGCACTGTTTAGGTTACCTCAACAGGGTTTCTTTGTATTTTTGTCTATGTATTTATTTTATGCATACATATGTGTGGGTGTTTAAATTATATACACTATTTTTTTAAAAAAAGATATACATTTTCTGAATAGATATAAAAATTTAATACATATACATTTTTCATAAATTTATCTCTAAATCGTAATTATTGG